CCGGGGAGGGCCGCCCGCTGACCCCCGACCGCGTGACCACGGCGTGTATGATAAATGTATTGTCTCTCGCGCATGCGCCAGGAATGCCGGTGGTGCTCGCGGGGGGCTGGGGGCCCGGGCCCCGGGGCAGGAGGGGCTGCGGGGGGCGCCGAGCCCCAGTGGGGGTTTAATGGCGGCCCGGCGCGCCCTCGTCGCGTGGCGACAGCAGCCTGTCGGGCCCGTCCCTAAAGCACGCGGCCGCTTGCCGGACGGCCCCTTAAGGGGCGTTGTGTGGCTTCCGGTGGCGCCGCCGAAGTGATAGTCTTGACCGAGGAATGTTCGACAGCCGACACCGCTCTGCGTCGCCGCGCCGGGGCTCCGATGAGGCCCTCTCTGGCGCCACTGCCTTTTTCTTATATTCATTTTATTTTCCCACACGGAAAAGGAATATCGTACTCCCTTAATCAGGCCGGGCAGGGGCGAGGCGCCGTGGCGGCCGGGCAGCTTCCCATGGCATAGAGTCATCCATGCAAGTGGGCAGGCCGACTACCGCTCCCCCGCGCCGGGGAGCGGAGCGGAGCAGGTCGAGTCGGATTCCACGGACCCCTCTCTGCACGTCATCACACGGCGGGGACGTCCCCGATCACATCGGGTCGGAGGGCACGGCCGCCGGCCCCGGCCCGGGCTCGGCACGTCAGATCAGATGTCGGCCGCTGACCGAAAACTCCCGCCGCCGCCGCCGGAGCAGTGCGCCGGCTGGGCTGGCCGGCTCCGGTGCGTGCCGGGGCGCCGTGCCGATAAATCTGCTGCGATCGCGGTGGAGCGCGGGGCGGCGGTAGTCGGGCCGGGCCGGCGGTGGAAGGCGGAGAGGGGGGCGCGCAAGCGGCGACAAGCACGCGTGGACAGTTTTAAATGTGAAATGCTCCATCCTGTTGAGTGTGTTGTACCGTCCTGATGTTCATTCGAGATCCCGTTTGTCAGCAACAGGCTCGCTGCTCGACGTGGCGCGGCGTGGCACCCGGCAGCGGCGGCTCGCAGCTCCATCAACGTCACGCGCGTGTCGCTTTGTCGGGGTTCGACGAGCTGCTCTTCTTGCCTTTGGCGCGGCGCAGGTTGGCTCAGGAGCAAGGATCGGTCATCTTTTTTCTTGTTTTGTTTTCCCGTGCAGCACGTTTCGGAGAGGCCGGCCAGCGCGACGTGCATGCGGGAGATTAGTTATCATTCTGCAAGACTCCGCAGCAGGAAGCTGCGCAAAAAGAACGCGCGCAAGCGGGTAGGGCAGGGCAAGCAGGGGCGAGCTCGAGC